TGTTCTGTTCACTAATGTTGACGTCAAACAAACTGGTGGTTGGTGGCTCTACCCACCACAATGCCGTTCTACACCCAGTAGGTACAACAAATTAATTCATTTTAGTATTTCAAAACAGCAGAACAAAATATATAGCATAATATGCGTTTACCGAAATTTCCTTGTTGCTTAATATCTTACTGTTCATTTATCCATCGTCATTATATTATGTAATATTATATTACCAATTAAATAATTATATAATATGCTTTTGTAGCTAAAATACCATGTTCTGATTAGGTAGGAGACATCAACCACCAATTTGTTGACGCTACCTGACTTTAATCATTATTACCATTGACGAGTTTAAGCACATTTTGGGTTAGGCGCAATTTAAATTTTTAATTGTGACTGGGAGGGTTTGTTCAAATATAGACCAAACAGACCCGCAGAAGGCGTTTTCCCTTACACCACACTTTCATCCTTTATAATATAGTTACTTCCAAAGTTAAAACTCATCCAACAATCCAACTTGATAAATATAATGAGTAATGACGATTCATATGTTTAGTAATTTGATAACTTCTATCTCTCCTACTAGGTAATTACTAAGAAGATCCTTAAAAAATGTTCACTTATAAAATGATAGGTATAGTTATAAGTCAGACACATATAAGCAATGATGGTTGTCGCTCCCATTCCCTCAGTACTATATGCATAACATTATATAGATGTATAAATATAATAATGCAACACTTGAAATATAAAAATAATTATATTGTAGGTACCTACATAATATTATTATATGATATAACCAACAATCAACATAATATAATAACTTAGTTATATCATATTACAATAGTATATTATGGTTATGTTTTTTCATAATTTTTTTATTTCTATTTTACAGTCAATATAGTACTTACTAGTTAGTACTTAGGTATAATTCCAGGACCAAAGAGTGCATGTTTGCATCTGCTGCCAAATGTTTGTTAATATATTAAAGGCTTTGATATTTTCATATATTCATATTCATTTATTATTTATTTATTTTGTGTAGAATTTGTAACTGGATATTTTTATATACCTACTTATTTTTCAGAGACTGATTCACTGTCTGGAGTCCACCCAAATTGTATCTAATAACTACAGTACTAGGTGTAAAGAGTATACACGTATTGTCAAAATGAGTTTATCGAACTAAATCCCTATAATTAATAATAATTGTATTAAGATTAATGACAAGGTATGATACAATAAATGATATAATAAAGGTTACAACTGTTACAAGTATACCGTATACTAGTGTAACAGAAATAGCTGACGAATGTAATAAACTAACTTAATATGTAATAACTTTTGGATTAATCAATATTCCATTTTTTTAAATATCAAAATATATATCGTAAAACATATCATTACCTAATGGTCCTAATGGCCAATATCTAAATTAAACATTTTAGATTCTGAACCGATCGATGAAATTTAACCCACCATAATGAGTATTTTTTATTTTTTTCTATGTATGTATATAATATGTAGTCGAATAATGCTTTGATTTTTAACATCAGTATCTATTCTATTGTAGGGTGGCCAGATTTAGTTTTAAGTAATTCTGGACACCAAAATTCATAAAAAAAAAATTTTTTTTAATAAATGGGAAATCATCATGCAATTTTTTTTCGTTGGTTGGTTAAATTTAGAAAGTGATTATAACTGTGATTGTCGTACATTCCGACGATCATTCTCGAAATAATTTACGATTAGGTCATTAGGACGTGTTCAAAATAAAATCGATAGCCAAGTAAATAAAATAATTAAATTATAAAACGATTTTAATTTCCGCGATATTACTATGCAAAAGCCTAAACCGGTGCAAATCGGTGTCCCGACTCCCTAGAACCTTGAACGTCCCGGGAAATCCAGGACGAATGGCCATCCTATTCTATTGAGAAGGTGACTCTAGTAACTAGAGTTAGCAAGTCTAGTTTGGTACTTTTGAGAGGTTAAAATCAAAAGTTTCAAGTAGTTTTGAAAAGCTTTGGGATACAAGACATTTTTATTGAATATTTGTACTAACATTTTCTATACAAACCATATAATTTTTTAATCATCTTTTTTTGAGATATTTAATATTTGTAGGTACTCTATAAGCATATAAGAAATTTTCAATTTTGATTAAAATTTTTTCAAAAATCTTGAAAATGAATGAAAAGTTCCTTGTACATTGTTACAAGTGAAGTAATTAAAAAAAAAATTGAGTGTAAATTACTAAATTCACAATAATTTTTTATGAGCCTCTGAAGTTAGAATTTTCAATTTTGACAACATTTTTGAAAATTACGAATATTTGAAATTTACTTCAAGTTATAAATTCATAAAAATTGTTCTTTTTACACAATATGAGATTTGAAAAAGAAATACAAGATTCTTTATAAGTTTTTCAACCGTTAACAAACAAAAAAAAGTTTACTGGAAAGTTCAATTAAATTTTTATGAGCGTTTGAAGTTCAAATTTTTTCAATATTGGATATTCACCGTAAACAAACGATTTTCTTATTTTCTTGTAATTCAAAAAATAATATAAACGTATATACTTGAAATTTTCGCCGAAAGTTTATATTAGCATTTTATTTATATCATACAATTATCAAAATATTTTGAACCTTTTTGAGCAAATTATAGGCATAAGAAAGATTGTTTTTAGTTTTTGTGTAAACTAAATATCCATTTAATATTCTTAGCTTTGTTAAATAGCTTGAAAATTTAAAACGAGATTCCACATAAGTATTTCCTACTGTAGGCAAAATAACTATTAATAATAACAATATTAACGATTTTGGCTATTTGTTTTGTAGTTAGATAAATATTATTGTTGGGTAGGTAGGTACTTGAAACTTTTAATGCATATCAAATGAAATGTTTTCGGCAAAAATTAATTTAACCTTCTGTCTTATTAATAATAAAATAAATTACTTTAATAGCAGTTCTAACGTAAAATATGCATTTAGTAATATAGGCTGAAAGACCGTCTCCCTTGGAATCGTTTTTCGTATCCAATAATTTTATATCATTTTAGTTGAATTAAAATTTAACACATCCATTATACTGATCCCGAGACACCTATTCTTAACCTACAGCTGAGCGGTAATCATTTGCCCACCTTTTTAAATTTTTTTAATTGTTAAGTATAAAAGTTAGATGACATTATTAATATGTAAATATGTAATACAAATTAAAAAAAAATACACATGTTGTTTTTATTTTCAATTGAAATTGTATTTTATTTGTAGATTCTAAATTGTATTTGTAAATTAATTTGAGTAAAACATTACATTTTTATAAATAAATAGTTGAAAAGGCAATTAAATTGTTAAAAGCGATAAAGACGTCTTATATTTTCCATTCATGTGAATTGTATATATTATACACGACCCTAGAAGCCTTAATCCGGCTCTGTAGTAATATACTATTATGCTAATATATGAATGAACAACAGAGTTTATGCTTAATTTTAAGATGTACTATTATTATTTATTTTATTGGTTATTTTTATATTATGTTTATTATTTTTGTTCTGTGATGAATAATAATTAGGAAATTCAATCATTTTATTTATAAGATTATTACTACAGTAACTTTTAACTTTAAAATGTCACGGACATAGTATGTCGGTTGCAGCAGATGAATAAATTAATAATTGTTTTGTTACTGAAAGTTGAATTAAATTGTATAATAATTTTTTTAAATTCCAAGATATCTCATGATATCTAACTTTGATTCGGACTTAGTCGAATAGCGTGATTAATTTTTATGGGTAGGAGTGGGGGGCTTCAGCCTATAATGTTTCTAGTTATCTATTCAAAAAATGTAATTAAAAAATACTTACAGGTGGGGTTATAGTATTCTTAGCCCAGTTAGCCCCCCTCCTATTCTACGTCTATTCAGGCATAGGTATAAAGAGTTTGTTTATAATTTATTTATAGTGTATAGCTTAGTATAGAGAAGTATAAAGTATGAGTATTTAGAAGTCCTTAGTCCTTATATAGGTCCTAGATACCTACTTAGTTTTAGGTTTGTTACGATTTAAAGTTATTATGTGTGTACGGATAGTTCATCAGGTATCTATTGCTCGTAAAATATCATATTTTCAGACATGCATTAATTTCATTTCGCATGCCTTCATCATTTACCTAGACACTTAGACGTACAATATAGACTATATTACTGACAACGTCGTATAATTGGATCGTGTCCTCGTTGCCATCTGCATAATAATTATCTGTAACTCCTTAATTTCTTGAACTGCTGTTTGCGAGTTTTACACTCTTTGCAAATATTATGTTTATACGAACAGCAGTATAATATGAATAGGGTTCGTACAACGACGAGCTCTTGATTTTATTTTCTACAAAATAATTATTTGAGTGTGGCCCAAACTCGCCTGGTAGCGTGACCAGCGACGCGTTCCCCGTAGACGTCAAGAGTAGTAGGTACCTAGGTATGATGATTATAATCACGCAATAATTTGGAAATAATAACCGTGTATTATGCTATTACACATAATATTTTTGCATTATGGTCAGGTTTTATCCTAAGGACTTTTCCCCATTGCCCAAATATAAAGTAAGTTTTAGCCATTAGGCAGGATCGTGTCAATTATGTCAATATGATTTATATAAAACAAATACAGTATACATTATTTTTATACAATTTTAAAGGAAGTGATTGCGAGAATGTCGGAACGCAAAAGAATTCGCGATTAGTTTGTTACAACTGCACGCAATCGTCGATGCAACCGTTGCACTTTTGGTGCATATAGTATTTCCTGTCGCCATCATAACCACATCTGGCCTGAATAATGAACGCTGAGAAGCATCGGCGCATTGCATTGCATCGCGCACGCAATGCGTGTGACGTAGCCGCCGCCGCGGGAGCCCACGGTTATTCGGGAGCGCGGAAAATACCGTGCACCGACCGACACTGGGTGGTCGGCTGTGCCGCTAATCAATAATGTTGTGCCAATGATGGACACAGAACGGAACAGATGATGTAAATAAACGGCCGGCGTGTTTTGACGAGTTTTTGTGTCTACGGTCTTCGGTCGCGGTCGCCTCCGCCAGCTGCTGCAGTCGTTTGCGTCGTTCGTCCCGCGTACCGTTCGTCCGTCGTGCCGTTTGTCCGTCGTGCCGTTTGTCCGTCGTACCGTTTGTCCGTCGTACCGCTAGTGCCGACGTTCCAGACCCACACACTGATTAACGGTATCAACGGCAGCGACAATCACAACAATAACAAAAATAACGTTATGGTGAGTGTATAGTTGTTGTATACCACGACCCGTTAACTTGTTTTCCAACAGCCCCGATGGGTTTTGTTAATTTGTTGTCGTGATAATAATATGTATTATAGTCGTCGACATTACTTTAGTAATGTCGCAGGTAGACACTAGACGGTGTCGTCGCCGTCGTCTTATCTCATGCAAATGATTATTATTAATTATTATAATATCAATATTAACATTAGGGCAGCTGAGGACTTCAATCATTTTGCATAGGTATTTGTTTTGAGCAATCAAAAAAAGAGACCAGCCATAGATTTTGTAGAAACAAATTTTATTTTACGTAAATGACAAAGTCGAATTAATAGTTTTGTGTTTCATACCTGCGTTTAATTGGGTATTTTTCTATTTTTGGGACATAATACTATTCAGGTTTATTTTTAGGCATATTTCTTTCATTTGGGCTATATTTTTTTTTTAATGAACGTTTGTGAAAACGATTGTCGGTTGTTCTCAAGCTATTTGACTGCATTGCCGCAGTGGTGGCGATCAAGTCGTCGTTATCATTAATTCAGATTTAATTTATTTTTAATATCATCTATTAGTTGTGCTGCCAGAAAAACAATTTTAACGCTCGTTTTCGGGTTTTTGAGGCTACTCGATAATGTCCTCTGCCAAATAAAAATTATCGTCGTTGTCTCCTCTGTCGTTGTGAACGTTTCGTAGTCGTCACCCACATAATGCACACAACGTATCACCCTATCACACCCACCGTACACGGGGTATGGGGTGGCAGGCTGTCGATGGACAAACCACGATTTCGAGACCCATAAAAATGCTAATGTCCGTCCACGACGATCGTGCTGTGATAGCATATTGTCACACGAGTTTGTCGACCGACATTTATCATCCCTTTATAATATTTTACAATTAACATAACATGTTTGCGAGACGATATCCGACACCCTCCTCCGATCGACGGTTTCCTGTTTTTTGTCCTCCGGGATGGTATATCGTAGCGTTATTTCAACTGGTACTATTATTATACTTTGTCGTACCGGCAGCGTTGTAAGTAGTTACACACTGCACACCAGTGGCGTGCCGAACGATTGTTAAACTTGAGGCAAAACAAAAAAAATGAAATACCCATCCGCCAAAAATATGGATTTTTATGTCCTAAATGTGAATAGTAATTTTTTTTTTACAACATTATTGTTATATTTTATTTATTTTTCCCATTTTCCCTATCACACGCGTTTTAGACTTGAAGAAATTGGCCACGAAAATACCTTCTCCTTCTGCTGTTGGTTAGGGGTTGGTGGTAACGTAGGTGGAAACTGGGACTATATATAGGCGCGATCAAAATGAACCGAGAATAAGGTTAATTTTGGTTAACTTTTGGCGGATAAATCGTACACTTTGGATGTTCGATTGGTAACCGCGGTGGTGTAACCCACTACCACCTTACCTGTCTATTGTGTCCCGAGGTCTCTGCGGGTTTTCCGTATGAATTAATATTGAAACAATTTTCGTATTTTACATGGTAAAGGGTAGGTATAACATTTGATTGCATAATATTCTTTGCACAAAATATATTCATTCTGAAGCATTATGATAATGCATACATTGTATCAATAATGCATTGAAATTTATATTTAGAATGACAACGTATCTTTATCCGGCACGGAAAGTGGATATCTGGATGTATTCTACAGAGACACCTGTGTATTTCCCTTCCGCTGTGTGGGTAATTTATTCAAAGTTTGCTGTCTACAAAGGGTTTTACTTGTGAACTCTATGAATAAATAATCGCATTTATAAACATTGTTGCTGTGTAACTTCTATTCAGTGCATCAAAAGGGACTAGAGAGTAGAGAATTAGGAAGTAATATTTGGTTATTACTTATTTTATTAAAATTCCGAGACCGAATCACCTACCCACCTCGGTATTTTCAAATGCATATTATTTTTAATAAAATATTCAAATAATATTGTATTTACAAATTAAAGAGTTAGGTGCAAGTTTAATAAAAACGTGATAGGTTTATTCTGTAACACTGAAATGTAATACTAATATTATTGTCGGAGGAGAGGTTAGTTTAATAAACCGGTTTAAAAGACAGTTTTAATACCTAAAGGGTGAGACTCTGGGCGAGACACCTCCGTACGTGTTCTTATAATGTATACAATAATATTATGACATCATGAAATAAATATGTTTGAAATGTTATGTTGGACGTTTTTTTTGAATGCAGTGAGATAATATTATGATCCATAAAAATTGTATCAAATTCAAATATCAGTTGTTTAATGTCTGGTTTCCAAAGTATGTTGATTACGTTACAACACAATGTTTATGTTGTGTTTAATATTTATTTTTAGATTATAGTTGTAGCCTGTTGGTATACAGTAGTATACATACATATTTAGTAAATACTTTTCGAATATTTCAATTTCTTATTTGTGACTATTTTATTTTGTAATTTATTTTATTGATACCAATATTTTTTTTATATTTCCAAATTAAAAATAATACGTATTTTGAATATATAATTATGATATGGTTGGTATGCTCAAAGTGTATTTATTAACTAATTTACATTTATTAATATTTTCAAAATAAAATATAACTATAATTTGTAATATCATTGATACTAGTATTTATAATCAATGGTAATATTTTATGATATGAAATTATGCATTATGATCAATAAATATTTTTCAATATAGTTATTTACACAAAATAAATATATTACGCAACAATTTAAGATATTATATTATACCCATAGATATTAATATTGTATTATATTTTTATTTAGACTTATTTCGTCAAGTTTTAAAATGATTTGTTGTTTCGTATTAAATAACAGAATTAGGTATAATATAATATTATTTACACAATCGATAGTAGGTACAAATGTACAATGTTCAATTATGTAATCAGTTTTCTTATGATACATTTTATAAATACATATTATATTATACAACATAAGCACTACCAATAGATAAATTAAGTTTGACATTAAAAACTTACTAAAAAAAAAATTAAATTATTTAAGAAAATTTTTAGTTTCTTATTTTGTAAAAATGGTATAATTTTGTCTTTAAGAAAAGTAGCTATCCATATTATTTTCTAATACTGATAGTTAGTGTGTATTAAGAACACGAGGGACTTTAATAAAAGTATATTATAATTTCAAGGTTAAAATTAATACGATATTTTTCAAGGATGACGAATTTAATATTGTGTCCATGTTCATATATTTTTTAATTTAATTCATCATTGAAATACGATATATTGTTTGTTTCCACGAAGCACGAAATAATTGATCTTGAAATGTTCCTATATAGTGTATATTTCAGAGTTTAATGTTAAAATATAATATTTATTAAAATGAGTTTATTGAAAATTAAAATGTATAAATCATTCCTAGATTATACTTGAATGTCGACTTTTTCAGATATTAACGAGGAGGTTAAGTAAAAATATTTCAAAATTTGTGGGTAGCATATTATTGGATTGAAAGTTGGTAAGGTATAATTCAGTTTACCTATATAATACATACAAGTTGGATTATTCTGTGAGGCATTTGAGAAAACCACATAAAAGTATAAAAAGTAATGAAATATCATAATTTTTTGAAGATATTTTTTCTAGATTTCTTTTGATATAAATGTCAAATAAGTTTAAGTTTTATAAATTGAACATATTAATTCAAGGTTAATCTCATAATATATTCTTTGTTTTTGAATTGAGGGGATTGGAAGCGGTGATTTTCCTTCTTTGCTCAACACACTTGCTGCAACATAAAAATTAAGACGTGTATTCATTCAAGCGTACAACGAATAATCTAGTGAAGCGATAAGAATTATATATCTTTATATCGACTCTCCATATTTTAAATTTTTATACAATTTTAATGTATCCGAAAATTGAAATGTGACAATTTTTAACTTATCTGTACTTTTTTTTTATAAAACAATGTTAAGAATTTCGAGATATATTATATTTAGAAATTTAGGAAATTCGATCCTTAGTAGACTTAACGACTAATTCAAATCTTGTTTTTGGTCTTTATTGCTTTATTAGATAAATCGGATATCAGTATAATGGAATAAATTCACGTCATAATTCCCATACGTCGCGTAGGGGTTTTCGACATGGACGGAAAATCATAATTCAGATCCCTTAAAACAGTGTTTCTCAACCTGTGGTGCGTTACACCAGTGGTACTCAGAAAGCTCATATTTGGTACTCTAAGAAAATCACACTTTATAAAAATAATGGAATGAATTATATATCTCATTAAATATTATTTTTTTATTTGATATTGATTATAAGAATATAAATAACAACTATACATACATATTTTTTGAATCTATTAAATGTTGAGGTGTATTGTCATTATTTTGTAGTTCCTAATAAAATACAATTCTATCCTCCATGTAAAGTAACGTATAGGTAATAGGTATATATATGTTTGATAACCAAAAAACTGAAATCGTTATTTCGTCAAGTGGTACATGCAATTTTTAAAACTATGTAGCTGGTACACGGATTTAAAAAGGTTGAGAACCATAAAATAAAGACGTAACTACACTGGCGCGAGCATAGCGAGACGAGTTCTCGAAACTTGATACTTAGCTTCTGTTTCTTGAGAATCTGTGATTTGTATAGGTATGCTTATGTAACAATAAAATACTATATTAGGTAATATTATAAAATATTATTATTTTAACTTTTTATGAATAATTCATAATAAAAATTTAGGAATAAAAGTAAAGTAGGTAAACTAATTATTGGCTGCGGTACCCTAAGTATGCTCTTGAAATTTAATGACGAAATAAAAATAAAAATTCAATTGAGTAGGTATCTTTTATCATTCAGTTTTATAAATTACATTAATATTAAACTAATTTTGAAAGAAAATTCGCCTTTAACAAAACATTTGCCCTTTGTTCACGTACCTATGCATTACTTTTTTCCATCCATCTGTGTGTTGAATCAATTTATGTTTTTTATTTTGTAG